TTTTTATATGAGCCGTCCATCACGATTTAATCTCGATCGTCCGATCACGATTAAATTAAAAATGAATCTGGGCCGTCCATCGCGATGCGATATGGACCATCCGTGCGTGATTCAATCTGGGCCGTCTACACGCGTGCAATCTGGGCCATCGCGCGCGGGTTTGATCTGGGCCGTCCGTGTACGCGGGAACGAATCTCAGCCGTCCAATCGCGCGCACGCGGATCGCCCACGTGGCCCGTTCCACGTGGCCTTCCTGCGTCAGTGTCTCTGCCACGCGGCGTGTCTTAGTTGGCCGGTGTCACTGACCGGGCTGCTGACGTGGCGTAATTTTTTTAAATTACATTTTGACCTCTGGTTTTTAATTTTCTTTTCAAAAACACCCCTAAAATCCGAATTTTCACCCATTTTTTCCAAAATTATTTTCAATTAAACCCAAAAAATAATTTTATCCATTTTTATCATTATTATTATTTTTATTTCTATTAAATTAAATTAAACTAAATTAAAACAATTATATTATTACTTAAATAAATCAATTAAAAAAATTAAAATAAATCAAAATTATAACAATTCCAATAATAATAATAATAATTAAAATTAGGGTGTTACACGAAGCCTGGCGGCGGCGCCGCGGGAAATTTTACAAAATGCCTCCGATTATGCCCTTTCCGATTCCCATTTTGCGTAATTTTTCCACCGTTCTGATCATCATCATCTTCTCTATAAGTTGACCAAAGCAAAACATCCAACCACAATGTGAGCTGAAGGAGCCGCCGCACCGGAGAGCCTTGACGCCGGTGAGTTTCAGTTTTTCGTATTTTTTTGCCCAACCGATGTCCTTTAACATGTTTTCTCACAGGGATCGATGCAAAATCGGCCGAATTCAGTCAAAAATGCCCAAAAACGGCTGACCCGAGACTGACCACCCCCACTTGTTAGAACACGGAAGAGCCACCGTGCCAGAATTTTGAAATTGACCGAGTGGGCCCCAGAACTGATTTTTGGTTTATTTGGAACATTTGTAGGTACTATTAGTATGTTTCAGTTCCCGGACAAAAATTTAGGGAACCCAGGGACCTCCTGTAGGCTCAGTAAATAGTTTAGTTTTTCGGGCGTCAAATTGAGTAAGGATCCATCACTCTATTCTCTATCATAAAACTAAAGTTTAAATAAATAATAATGTGGTATTTTGTGCGATTTTAGCAAACATGCATAATTAATTATGGATTGTATAGAGTCAGAACTGAAATTATCTACTATTGTTG